TCAATTCTCTTTTAAAAAACCCTCATTAGAGTACACAGAAGTTCTTCAGTCTGCACCCGAGGTGCTGTGTAGATCACTGCCTCAGTCTGACACTGGGGGGCGCTGCGTCGTCTCCAAAAATAGACCTCAGAGTATGTGACGTCCACACAGTCTTCCTCCTGCACAATGAAGAACAACAGAAGAGAGTTGGACAATAATCTGTGATCTTGGTTTGAAATGAAGAACAGAAACTATATTCTTCAAACTGGATCATGTAAGATCTAAAAATAACCAGTAATAACCAGAAATAACCAGTCATACTTAGATAAGACAAAGTAGATTAGACTTTTGGTGAGTCCTGTGTGTCCTGACTCTGTTTTTTTTAAGGACAACAGAATATAACAGTAAAAAAAATACAACAATCAACAATCCAGACTCTGTAAAATCACCTGCTCTAAAATGTCTCTTGTATTTTGTGTGCATCATTAGACACAAGTTTGAAAGAAGCACATGAGCTGTTTAGATGAATCTGGTTATTTGACAGTAAATGTGGGTAAGAAAAGACAAACATATGAGAGTCACCTGTGTGTGAGCTCGCTCTGTGCCCTCGGCTGCTTCTGTTGGATTTGAACAAAACACACAAAGTTTGATTTGAGTGAATAATAAAATGATGTGTGTGTTTGTTAAATATGACTCACCTTGTGAGTGAGTGCGTCTCTTTTTGGCGTAAAGGATAAACACAGTGAGTAAGAGCAGGCTCAGCCCAGCAGCCCCACACACAGACAGCAGTACACCTGTGACAACACAAACATCACTGCAGCACAAGGAGGTGCACGCCTTTCAAACATCATCACAAGCATCATCATATGGAAAGTGTTTCAAGTACCAGAGGACACAGAGGAAGTGTGCTGCTGCTGCTCAGAGGGACTGGAGGAGCTCTCAGAGGAGCTCAGGGAGGAAGAGCTTAAACCTGGGGCAGAGCGGAGCAGAATATGGAGAATATTTCTACACTTGTAAATGTGTGGTCAAATCCAGAATGATGTGGGCTGCATGTGCCTCAGAGTGACAGAGTTTTACCAGCGGCTGCAGTGGTGCTGAGCTCCTGCTGCTCAGGACTGGAGGAGGTCTGAGTGTGGAGAGAGGGAACAACACCAGCAGGAACAGGAACAGGAACAGGAACAGGAGCTCTGACTGGTGCTACAATCGGAACAGAATCAGTAAACAACAGAACATTGACACTTTAACACTTTAAGTGTTAATTAAACTTACTTCTGAGGACTTGAATAAAAAAGTCTTTGTACTCATCGTTTGTTATTATGGTTCCAACCCGCTGCTCCAAACCACAGCTGTAGCGCCCGGAGTCAGACAGTCTCACATTTGTGATGCTCACATTGATGGTGTGAAGTTTGTTATGTTGTGTGCTTCGTAGTCTGTATCTGCCAATCTGGTCGAAGTTTCTTGAAGTCTGAATCAGTCTGTTCCTCTTTTGTGTTGCAGTCGTTTCTACAAAAGACCTTCCACTTTCCTTTTACTTGAAACTGACATTTGAACTGTGATGTTTCCTCCTTCAGTTACAGTAAACGTCTGTGATGTGGTGAGTCCGTCTGCAGCACACAGCACTGTTCAACACAAACATCAACACTGCAGTGTTTAGACAAATCAACTGTACAAATACTACTACTAAATACTATATGGTATAACTTGGGTTTATAATGTATAATGACATTATTGTGATGTTTTAATAGACTTTTTTATAAATTGCCTTTAGTGACATTTGATTATAAATGTGAGAAAAATCACCAGCGTCCTCCTCCTTGCAGCTGACAAAGGACTTGTGTCCGTCCTCGTCCTACTGGACCTGACCTCTGTATTTGACACCAT